GGACAAGAGCGAGAGAGAGACACACACACAGGCACACACAGACACACACATACAGAGAGAGAGAAAGAGAGAGAGAAAGAGAAAGAGAGAGAGAGAGAGAAAGAGAGAGAGAGAGAGAGAGAGAGAGAGAGAGAGAGAGAGAGAGAGAGACATGATTGGATGGTAAAGAGCAAACTGATAAATAGATATGATACGGATAAAATAGACATATGAATAGAAAGGATAAGCAGATATAAACATAGTAGCTATGTGAACAAGGAACTCACGAACCATCTCAAAATTAGATTAAGACGTAACAGTGAATCCTCTTTTGAAACAGCCCAGGAAACACACAATGGCGTCACAAAACTCCCCCAATTTCCTTGCATAATGAGCTGCAATCGACCCTTTCTGGCACGTGTTGGCATAATAAATTAATAGTTTCGTGCGTAATGACAAAACATTAAGAAAGTATAGATCTAGATCAGTGCCTGTAGACCTGTTTATAGCGAGCTTACATTTTGCCCCCTTTAAGAGGCAGACATTTATTTCGCACTGCCCACTTAATTTGCACATTTTTCTAAGTGGCCCATAACATTTCTCTTCCCGTGTGGTCCTCGCCGGCCACCACAATGATCAAACCGCCCAAAAAGGGACAGGACGATAGCGCCCAGATTGGCAACGACTGATATACTCAATTATTGTAAAAATACTGTAATAATAATGATAAAATAGTTATATAGCGCAGATTCCCGCTCAACAGCAAACTTTATGCGCTTCACAATCTATATCATTACCTCAGAAGATTTGATAGCATTCGGAAATAACCTCAACTTCCTGGGAAACATGCAGAGCAAGCTGCCATTTATAGATGCTAAACCACTCTCATACTGACAAACACGGTGACTGACTTGACGCTACAGTTTTGCATAAGGTCAGACGAGAATGATACTACTAATAATGCGTCATAGCGTAGAGGTCAACACGTTTTTATCGGTGTCAGACCCTCCGCTACTGTTGTTGTTGCTGTTGTTGTTGTTGTTGTTGTTGTTGTTGTTGTTGTTGTTGTTGTTGTTTGGTCTGTGTTTTACGGCGCTCACAACTGCATAAGGTTAAAAAAATGTATGAACACATTTTCTTTCCCCACTCAATAGTCGGTCATTTTTAAAGGGGAAGATTTTCCTCTAATTTGGTAAAGCCACCTTGTCAGGAGAAGGATAATGCCTGGTGAACATAATTATGTCGCCGTGATCAGTATTGTTGATGTCTTGGTTGACAAAGACATCCCGACCGAATTTCATTTGAAAATATCCCAAACTTAACCTCTAATTACACTGAAAACTTTAAAAATGACAACCCTGCCGCGTGTCGTTTTGAAAATGTAGGACCATGTTTGACATCCAACAGTACAGTTGCCTACTTTTTGACATTTTAAATAGTTTTTCTCCCTGTGAATTCTCATTATCCATACCCAGGGAAACGTGACATTTCTCAAATTTCAGAAAATGAAGAACAGTTTTTGTCATGAAGACAGGATGATTACATTAAGGATATACAATTTTTCTACTTAGATACACGCACCAAGAGCAAATCATCAAAGCATTACGAAACTTTTTTCTTCCAGACACAGACATCTAAAACCTCATTGTTCAGAGAATATAGGGCGTCTCGTTCTAAATCCTGAAGGAAAAAATGATATTCATTACTGAAAAGAAGTACAGATTATGCTCTTGTCAGTCAGGTTATTACTTTTTTTCGTATGTTTTTTTTTCTTTTGGAGAGCAAAATCACAGTGTTACGGTGATGTCGCTGACTTACGGTGAACACAAACGGTTTAGATTGACCATCCTTTCAGATATGGTCGCAGACTTCAAAGTATATTATCTTTGTCTTTGACCGAGATAAGTTTTGCACCTAAAAATACTTGGATGCCCCGGGGTGTCATCTCTGACTCAAAGGTTGACCTTTCGCAACCTGAGTTCTTTCTTGTCGTATAACTCCATTTTTAATAACAGTGAAAACAGTTCATAACAAAGTGTGAGCTTAAGAAGAAGTCACATTTTCACTGTTTAAAAAAATGGAGATACGCCAAGAAAACACTGACGTCGCGAAGAGTGACCCTTCAATGTTCACGGGCGCCAGTCGCTGCTGTTTTTTAAAATTTATGCTATACTCAGGCCAGTCAATGTTCTAATGTTTGTCAGTTCTTGTTGCTCTTTGCCGACCGCTGGCCCTCTTGCCCTATATCCTTCTTCCAAGGACCTCTTTCAAAATGGTCTGGTGACGTTTTGTATGTCCAAAGTATGGTATAAGTGGGTAGTTGGCGGGTGCTCTGGTGTGGTTTGCTTCTTTTTTCTTATCAAACATCTATCGTCCCTTTCTCTCCTCCTTCTGTTTTGTATTCGTTACTCTCTTGTAACACCTCTAATATTCGGCACTTATAATACCATATTGTGTTGCAAGTGCCGTGAAACACTTACTAAAACAAAACAAAGTTTGGTATTTTTTTTCTTTTTTTGTGTTAAGCACGGCTTTTCTTTCCCCAAAACACCGCGATGTAGTATGATATACCGAACAAAATTCCCCGAGGAACAGACAGCACGTTTTATGTCAGACGAGAACGATACTAATAATATAACAATGCGCAATAGCGTAGAGGTCAGCACGCCTTTGTCGGTGTCGGACTCCTCTTTTGTTGTTGTTGTTGTTGTTGCTGTTGTTGTTGCTGCTGTTGTTGTAGTTGATGTTGTTGTTGTTGTTGTTGTTGTTTTTGGTAAGTGTTTTACGCGCTTGTAACTGCATAAGGTCATAAAAACACATTAAACACATAGGAGACAATAAGTGTCCGATCAACAACAACAGACCTCAGACAATGTTTCGGAACATCTGAAACCGCCACGCACAAATCAAAAACACAGATTTGCATATTTTATAGTAAGCATGTTTTTGCTTGCTCTTAGAAATTTCAGATAAAGAAAACATAATTCTTCTGGGTGGTTGGCGGGTGCTCTGGAGTGGTTTGCTCCTTCTTTCTTTTCAAACATCTATCGTCCATATCTCTCCTTATGCAGTTGCGAGCGCCGTAAAACTCTCACTGAAGCAAAAAACAACCATATCTCTCCTCTTTCTGTTTTGTATTTGTTACTCTCTTGTAACACCTCTAATCTTCGGCACTTATATGACCTAAATTGCGTTTCAAGTGCCATAAAACTCTTACAAAAAAACCCAATAATTTAAAAACCAATATGTATAACAAATTTAACAAAGTTATTTTTTAGAATAATAAATAAATCCCCCAAACAGCAAGTCAATAAACGTTGTCGAATTTCTAGATTGCGCGTTCTTCGTGTGATAAACAACCCGACAGTGGTTAAAAGGGACTTGAACCCATACCCTGCTGTGCCTACTGTAGTCCCTAATCCAAGCACTCCTTCAAAACGAACTCACTGTGTCTGTTAGGACAGTGATTTGTAATCAAACCATGGAAAGACATAAAAAGGCATTGTTGAGAGATATTACTTTCCAATCTCTGTCTAGCTCATATCAAATTATCTCGAGTAATCTGTATCATATTATGATGTCAGAATGATATTATGATTCAGGATGTGTCACATAGTTGTGCAATGTTCACTGGTGGGTGGAGCTAAAGTCAGTAAAGATATAGCTATGAAAAGCATTTGATCAACTCCCCTGTAATCCAGAGTAATACAGAAATAAAATGAAATAAATAACTTACATTTTTGTGTGGTGTTTTCTCTCAATTCGCACTTTCCTGATTCGTCTGATATTATTTTTGTTCGTTTTTGTTTGTTTGTTTGTTTGTTTGTTGTTGTTTTGTTCCTGTCTCACTGTTTCTCTGCTGTTCATTATTTTAGTCCTCTGTATGGAGACCGATTTTTAAACCTTATATCCGATATATTTTGAAGACAGCAATTGTGCTAATTATGGGCAAAGAGTTTATATTGAAATTCGGAAAGCTTTTTTTCTCCTCTACCAGTCTTCCTCATCCTTTACAAAACCTTCAGATTTTGAAGTGTTTTCTCTACTGCTATCTTTGGAGCATATTCGTGTGAGGTAAAACACATTTTATATGTAGAAGAATATAATATTGGCGACATAGATAGATAGCTGTGGCATTTAAAAGGAAACTAATAACGCTGAAAACTCAGGCACTAATGCATTGTTACTGTTTGTAACGTATCTTTAGAGATACGATGCTCGCCGCTCATGCCAAAGATGTTCAAACCCGGTTCATGCCGGTATGTCCACTTTTTTCTTCTTTTTCTTTGTTCTTTTCCTTCAACTTTCGCTCTCATTCACAGATTCTTCTTCCTCCATGCCCTGACATAATTTGATCTTCAGCTCAGTGAGTAATATCGTCTTGTCTTTTCAGACAGGGACGGAAAACTGAACTTGGTTGTACTTTAACTCCCACCCTACCTACCTCTTCCTCCTCTCCACCTACCCCGTCCCACCCGTCCACCCCCACCTACCCCATTCCACCCCACCCACCACCCCTAACTCTCACCTCTGAACGCATTAAGTTGTTCACACATAAATAATGTCTCCCACTCTTCACCGATTCAACCCATTTGCTCTTTAATGTTGTTGCTGTCTTTTTAAAAACGGTTTTCTGTTATGTTATTTAGATCTGTGTTTTATTATCATTATCTGCATATTTCAGTGACTATAAAAGAGAATAACTTGTGTTGATCAATATGTCCTTTTAGGTTACACTGGAGAATCAGTCGCAGTGAGCAAGGCGTTGTACTTTCACTCTTCTCTCGAATACTTCATTCCCGAAGTCCCTGAAATGTCGGAGTGATACTGGAAACCATCTGAAGCGCCTATAGAAGAAAGGTAAGCTGTTCTACCCCCATACAACTTCTTGTCTTCGCCATTCTCACGTTGACAGATTTTCTGTCTTTTGATCTGTTTCTTACTAAACATGCGGGAAACGTGTATTTGAGCACCCAGTTTCTAAAACAAGTTAGAACCGTATTTTGTACGTGGCATCACGTCAACTGAAACGTAGTCCCGAAAGAGAGCAAAGTCCCTGGAAAGTGCAGGGGGGATGTCAAGTAAGCCACTTTTAGTCACAATTCTTTTGCCTCGATTTACGCATCCTTCAAAACACGTACATCTGAAAGTGCCCATAACGCTCTCTCTCTCAAGATCACAGATAAAAGTGACCGTTACAGACAGATTGGTGATGTGAACATGGTCTGAGTCATGGTCATTAACTAGTCTTGACAAAATTAAAATTAGTTAGAAATCTGAGATCTGAAAACTGTTTATCTTTACATTTCATTTCCATTAAAATTGCCACGTATGATTTGTGATTCTTTGCACTGATTAGACGTAAGCACATCGTCTCATGACTGGTTGACAGAAAACTTTGGCAGTGAATGACTGCTGTGTGCATGTTTTGAGACCGGATTCTCGTGAGAAAAAAAAATTGACCAAAAATGACCTTGTTGGACAGTGACCGCTATATATATATAATACGTTAAAGAAACAAGAAAAACCCAAGGGTGTCATGGAGCAGTGATTGTTCGTACGGTTGACTTTAATGGAGCACTGGCCGTTGGGGAAGGTTCAACTGTAGTATAAAAAACAAAAACAACCCCCAACAGCCCATAATGCACGTCATCACTCAGTGGCAACGTAAACATTATTCGGTAATTTGTCCTTATGTATTCCAGAAGGTGGTCGAATAAAAATGTGTGCTCCCCTTGCTTTTGGACTGTAAAAGACATTGAAGTATTCTTTAGGGATATACAGTGGTCTATTATAATAAACATACTCAAAATGCAGTTCACATTGAAGTTGCTAGTTGCAAGACTTTAAAAGGACGCTCTGTACATTGATATAAATAAGCCTTGTTCCAAACACAGACGTAGAACAGTTCACACACACACACACACACAC